GATTGTCTTTTCATTCTATCAATGGTTTCCTTCACTGTGCAGTTTTTTAGTTTGCTACAGTGCCACTTGTTTATTTTTGTTTTTGTGTCAGATCCAAAAAAAGTCATTGCCAAAACTAATGTCGAGGAGTTTATCACCTATATTTTCCTCTAGGAGTTTTATGGTTTCAAGTCTTACCTTCACATCATTAATTCATTTTAAGTTAAGTTTTTAATGTGGTGTCAGATTGTGGTCCAGTTTCATTCTTTTGCATGTGGTTGTCCAGTTTCCCATCAACATTTATTGAAGAGACTGTCTTTTACCCTTTGTATATTCTTGATTCCTTGTTATAAATTAATTGGCCATCCATGTGTGGTTTTATTTATGGTCTCTCTGTTCTGTTTTATTAGTCTACTTATGTGTCTGTTTTTATGCCAAAACCATACTGTTTTGATTACTATAGTTTTGGGGTCTACTGTGGTTCCATACAGGTTTTAGGATTGCTAAAAATGCCACTGGAATTTTTTAGAGATTGCATCACACCTGTAGATTGTTTTGAGAACATGGACATTTTAACAATATTAATTCTTCTAACCTATGAACATGCAATATTTTTGCATTTATTTGTGTCTTCAATTTTTTTCATCAGTGTCTTGATGAAAGTTTTCAGTCTACAGCTCTTTTACCTCCTTGGGTAAATTTATTCATAGTTATTTTTTTCTTTTTTGATGTAATTGCAAGTGGGATTGTTATTTTAATTTCTTTTTCTGATAGATAATTATTAGTATATAGAAATGCAACATATTTCTGTATATCAATATAGTGTCCTCCAACTTACTGACTTTATTAGTTCTAACAGTTTTTTTGGTGGAATTTTTAGGGTTTTCTACATGCGGTATCATGTCATCTGCAAATAGTGACAGTTTTACTTCTTGCTTTCCAGTTTAGATGTCTTTTATTTCTTCTTTTTTTTTTCCCCCTAATTGCTCTTGAGCTGGTCTTCTTGAGGCAACGATCAGCAAAGCCCATAGGCTGTAAAGGTTGTTGCACCCTTGAAACACTGTTCACCATGGTCCCCGCCCCTAGCCTGACCTCCCTCATTTCCTCACCTGACAAGTGTATGAGTGTGTAAGCCTCGTTTCAAGTAGGACCAGACTGGGCAATTAATGAACTCAACATGAGGAGCAGACTCGATGTTTACCTAATTCAGAAGTGAGCTGAAAGAGAAAGAATGTGAGGGAATTTAGATCAAAGGGAGGCTGTATAGTTCCCCAGACAGTTATGATGAGGATACTGAGACTTGCTTTCTTGTGGACAGTTTTTCTTCTGTCATAGTGCATAGTTCACCGTCAGAGAGTAGCCCTCCCCTGCAGACCCGCTTGTGCTGCCCAGTTGGCTGAACCCAGCAGAGGACACCCCATCAGAGCCTCTGTGAGTTATGCCTGGGGAGCAGCCTGCTTCAGGTCAACTCCTGCTAATAGTGAACTCATGGGCTCAGGGCTTTTTACAGGAAGGGGGTTTATTTTCTCTTCTTGCTCCCCACCCTGACAAAAAGGACAAAAATTCCATGGTACACGCAGTGTCAGCATTCTTATGTTAAGACTGACTTGCCTCTGTTCTCTTTAATCGGGATCCCAACTCCATTATTAAGAACAACAACAAAAACAATGGTGTTCAGAGTTGCTTTGTTGAATAGACAGCATATCAGAAGTGCATGGTTTGTTTGAAAAATGATTTTCCATGTTCCTTATGTTCATTCTTCAAGTTCATGGCCATCGCCCATCATCACCTGAGAGTACTTACTGCTCAGGATATCTTAAAGGGAGAGTAAATCGTGCTTGCTTGGAACACAACCCAGGGTTCACCGTATGTTCCTGTACTGGCCAATGCTAATCAGCTCTTCCTCTATCCTCCCCTCCTTTGTGCTTGTAAATCAAGAGGCCCCAGTATTAGTCAACTGAAAGGAGATAATTAGTAAGTACAAACCGCTACCTTCATAGATCACTCGTACCTCAGATACAAGCGAAGCCAAGAAACTGGAGCAAGCGCCTTTACACAAGTATGAGTTGCTTTAGCAGAAATTTTTTTACCAAGACTTGGGAGCCAGGGCAGTTAAGTCTAGGTTCTGTACCCTCGCCAGCTGTTGTAAGGGTAGCCATGATATGAGGCTACAGGGAAGGCGTCCTTACCCATTTTATGAGGTTTTCCTTTCCTGGACTCAAATGTGTCTTTGGAACTCCAAGGATTTGAAAGAGCAATGGTTTTTTAATGGTATAGTCTTGGGATTCCGACAATTTTAAATACTTTAACCCTCCTCACAAAGGAGGAAGAATAGGATGCCACTTTTTTACTGGGATATGCAATGTCTTCCCAGAATCCATGGATTGTTCCTTTGCCAGCCATTTGTCCAATTGGAAAATTCATTTCCTGCTCTTGTGGGGCACATGGTTAAGGGCATGGGCATAGCTGCCCCATGAAGAGAGACTCTTTCCAGTCCAACTAAATAGGAACTTCCTTTCCACACAGTGCTAACCAAATACTGCTGGCTTGCAGAGAAGTGTTCCACTCATGTATTTATGACTTTGGAGCTGCTCAAATGTATGCTGGCTTTTATTTTTTTCCATCACACAGCATTTCTTCCAATTTTTGAGTTTCCCATATCAACCACTTTGCTGTTTTTAAGCAGAATAATTCCAAGCCAAAGTAGCTAATCAGAACAGTAAAACCTCATCAATTCAAATAGAGAGCTTGAACGCTTTCAGTGAGGGAAGGGCTAGCCTTAGAAGCTGGAGGCCTGTTTCATCTTAAATAAGATAAGGGTGTAGGGTTATGTAATCAAAGTCCTTTTCTACTAACAGTAAAACCACATTTCATCAAATCTGAGGTGCCATTGATTATAAGAAACATTATATTTCATATACCAACAAGAAAAGAAAATTTTAAAATCTGCCACTGGTTAAATTATCTCAAAACACTTGCAAAGATATCCCTGTGATGTATGGGTTGGTCACATCAGAGACTTGGGGCTTTGAAATCCACTCAGACAAATCGCTGACTTCTCCTGCCCTCTAGTTGTGTTATTTGGCATAAAATAGGTCAGTCCTTTTGAATGATCTCAGTAGCAGAATGCAACACCACTTTTCATCTTTGTGGGGGGTATCTTTCTTTCTAAGCACATACAGCATCTCCTTGTCTCATTGGAAGAAAGTATGGAATTTCTGTCCTCCTCCTAACCGTGAATATTTGCTTCATCGATACAAAATTCACATGCCACTGCTGTTTTTGAGGCTTTCTATATACACAGTGACTTTCCATTTCAATGCTAAATCATAATGTAATCTTTCTAAGACATTTAATGACAATTAAGCTCAAAGTCATAGTACCAAGAGTGGATGTGACTCAATAGAAGTGAGAAGGTGGACAACTGTGACCATGTTTGGCATGCTCGGGCAGGGGCATCTGCATCGTGACTTTGGCTTGCAACAGATGCTGTGTGTGACCCACCAGTCACCCATGCATCCTAATCTCCAACGTGTTAAAGTGTGTAAAAACGAGCATCTTAGAAAGGATAAATTATAGAAGCAGCTACAATCTTTTGAGAACTTAATATCCATCTGACAAGATACTAAACTCTTGACAATACTCTGGTTTCTCAAAGATCGTATAAATCTTTCACCTTTTACTAAACTCTTGACAAGACTTAATGTCAGCGAGACCTCACAGCAACCCAAGATGTACGTGCAGAGTAGACAGTTTAACAAGGTTAACGAAATTGCCCCAGATCACACAGCTAGGTAAACTTTAAAGCAGGAATTCTGCTTGGGACAGTAGGCCCTTCTATCCACCAGCTGTGTGGCTCCGTGGGCCATGTAAATATTGTGTGCATATTGAGTGTAGACGCCTCTTGATTCGGTCTATTTTCAAGCATCTTACATGAAGCATTGTTCCAAATACATTCTCTGATTGGTTATTTAATATCAAGGATGTAAAATATCTCAACCAATAAGGTTTTGTGTAGTTAATTGATAAATATATACTAATTAGCACATTCATTATATGCAATGGCCACTTCTTACAGGGGCTCACCCACATAATTTCTGCCCTCACAACAACTGTGGAAGCTGCTGTGGCTATCTGTAGCTACTTCTTCTTCACAGTGCAATGAGATAGTTAAGTCATCACCATTTTCTGACCAGAACCCTACCTAAGAGCTGAAATGACTTGCACAGTGGCACACAGAAGAACATTCACAGCAAAGTATGGACCTAGATCATCTCCAACCTTGGTTTCCGGGCCCTTGAGCCTGTTGTTTAACATGGATGGTAAATAGGTATAGACAATTATGTTCTGTTTTGTTTTTTTTAAAGACCATAGATGTTGTTTTACTCTCCCAATGTTAGAAGACATGACAATGAATGAAATTTTTCAGTGCACAGGAGCTCCCAACCCCTCATCCTGGCCATTCTGAGATCAGACTGGATGGGGAGAAGGAAAGCTAACAAGCCTGCCTCTCCAGAATAGCAATGCTGAGTAAATTCCTGTGGCTTTGTGGGGCTGGTGACTCTGTTTCCATGGACAGTTAAATATGGAATCTGGGAGGAGCTTTGTATTTATGTTTAGTGCTTTGGGAGCTAAACCCAAAAGAAAGGACAGAGAATGTGACTGAGCACTTTCATGGTCAAAATAAACACCAGCAAGAAGGAATTAATTACCAGGTCCAAATAGTTGATGGTCACCAGCCTCAAACCCTAGTCTCGTAGATACAATACAACTTCCACAAATTTGCATTTCAGTGTAGAAATTGCTTTAAGAGAACACAACAAGCATCTTTCAAAAATTTTCTCAAATTATTACTTCATTTGACTGGCAAGTGTATACTGAGTACATACAAGTGAAAGGGGACGTGCGTATAGGGGTGAGCAGGTCAAGCTCTGAGAAGAGCAGGCATGCCTATGTTAAGCGGCTGGCTGAATAATGAGCAAAGCTGGAACCATTTCTCACGTCCAGTGGTCCTGTTACAGCTGTAAAGGTGCCTCCCACTACGGCCTGACCAAAGACAGAAAGAGGCGCTCTCAAGATGGCTGTCCAGACAGTTGTGCGAGTCTCCCATCAACAACACTCTTCCCAGAAGTTTCTGCAGCTGCCACCATCGCCTTAATGACTGATGAGCCTGGCCTGGACAACCCTGCCTACGTGTCTACGGCAGAGGATGGTCAGCCAGCAAACAGTCCATCGGACTTTGGCCGGAGCAACCGAACTAGGGGTGAGTCAAATGGGTGGTTGTGCAGGAATGGGCCCCTTGTTGTGGGATGGCCCTCTGGGGGATATGCACTGTGGAAAGTTCTTGAACTGTTTTTTTAAGGAGAAACCATTCTGGTAATTTTGGCAGCAACTTAATATCCAATTCTCCAAAGTGAAATGAAACTACAAGTACCTTCGATCATTAGAAATATGGATAGTCTGAGTTGGTGACAGGGGTTGAGGCCAGGCCTAATGATTCATCACCCTGCGGCCTCAGTACCTTCCCATCCATGCTGCTCAAGGAGGTGCTATTATATTCAGTCTCATCCAGGGGAAAATGAAAAGCAGGTTTTTAAACAAGCCATACAATTTCGTTGTGGAAAATTTAGGAAATACACCTAAGCGAACTCTATCATCCTACCACCTAGCGGAATCACTGTTGGTGTTTTACTCTACGTCATCTCACCAGACGTGTGCATGTAAGAGGACTTCTGTGACTTGTAGCGACTGTCCCTTCTCTCTGTTCCTCAGCACGGCCCTTTGAGCGATCCTCTGTTAGAAGCAGGTCATTTAAGAAGATAAATCGAGCTTTGAGTGTTCTTCGAAGGACAAAGAGTGGAACTGCAGTTGCCAACCAAGCTGACCAGAGCCGGGAAAATTCTGAAAACACCGCTTCCCCTGAAGGTAAGTGAACTCCTCGCAGGCAGGGCTGGGCTGGGCTGGGCTGGACTGGGCTGGACTGGGCTGGGCTGGTCTCCCAGAACGACTGCAGGTGTGATGACAGCCTGACAGCCACTTACCCTCTGTGGCAACTCTCTTCCCAGGGATACAAAATATTTCTTACCTTGATTAGCCTGTTTGTCACATAAGTCACTGCAGGCAGAAATTATTGCTCTCTTTTTGCATAGTTTGAGGAGAAAGGTGTTAGAGCCCTTACCATCAGGTACCAGCTTGATACATACAAAGAATAATTATAGTTATAAGTGAAATGCAGTTAGAACTGAGCCTGGCCCAGAGTAAATGCTATGTAACTCCTTGTCCTTGTTACAACTATGTATGTATATATGTTATATGGTTCTGAGTGTTTTCCATGCATTAACTTATGTAATCCATACAACATCCTTATGAAGTAGCTGTTTTACTGATGAAGAAACTGAGGCACAGGAAGGTTACTCAGTTTGCCCCAGAGTGCCTTGCTAAATGTTGAACCCAAGAAATGAGGCTCTAGAATCCATGCAAAGTTGTTATTGGATCTTAGATCCTATGTGTTTTCCCCAGTATAAGTAGAGCTGAACAAATGCTGTCCTAGTTCCTTCTTTTCACTATGTATTAGAACTTTAGGGCAAGAGTTATAATAGCTTAAAAAAATGAGCTTTTCCTTTGTGCTAGGTAGTGTTCTAAGTCACTTAGGCATCACAACAACACTATGGGATTATCATGCTCAATTTATAGATGAGGAAACAGACTCAGAGACCTTAGGTTACTAGCCCAAAGTCACCTGGCTAGAAAGTGGCACACCTAGGATTTTAAGTTGGGTCCTCTGGCTCCAGAATCCACTCCCCCAACCACTGCCTAAGTACCTTTGTCTTCTGGGGGTTGGGAGGTGGAGTCCAAATCACAGTCCTTAGCATGCCTTCAGAGAATTTGTAAGCAGTCTTACGAGACTCCTTTTTGCTCACTTATCATCTGCCACCCTCTACACACATATACACACATTGCTTGCTTTAATTATTCTGAACTCATTATCACAGTCCTGTAAATACTGTCTTTTGCTCACAGCCTGCACTTGCACCCTCCTTCGTCTGGCATTCTAATGCCTCCTTCCCGCATAGGCTTTGCCTCCTCCTCGAAGTCCTTCCTGATTCCCTCAGTCCCAATTCCTTCATGTTCTTAAAGCACCTGGATCTCTAATATAGCCACAATTGCCTTTCTTTGTAACTGTTCCTATTAGGGCCGGGGTTCTCCTTCTGAGTCTTCATATTCTCAAAGCCAAACACGATATCTGGTGCATAATAGTGTTTGCTGAATGTGCAATGAATAAGTGAAATGATTAGAACTTCCTTTCTGCCAGTCTTCCTCTCTCATTCAAGTTTCCTTAATTACACTCTATAATGTTTTCTCCTGCATGAATAAGATTTATTTGCATGTTTATTGCAGAAACATTTTTAATAAGAGATTATTATGTTTAATGCACTAACAAAGGCCCTGTGATTTTTATATGAAGATCATAAAATCCAGTCCCTGGCTTCAGGAGGTTCATTCAGGACTAGAAGAAAATAGAATGCCAGGAATAGTGAGGTATAAATAAATGACAATGGCAGTCATAGGGAGAGCAACATGGCTTCCAAGTAGGGAGTGGTCTCTGCCCTGGATGGACAGTGAGATCTTGACTTGTGCTGGAAAATAGTGGGAGGTTAGTTAAGGTCAGAATGGAGGGCGTCCTGATGCCATTAGAGCCTGGAATTGTATACACCTGAAAACTTGTGTGTAGCCTCATCGCAGAATTGGACTTGTGTTTCAGAAAGATGAAGGTGGCAGCTGTGTCTTGTGTGCAGGGGCCTTAGAGAGGGAGAGAATGGATTTCCTTAGATGCTGCGGGAAGCATCTCAGGGACAGGATGAAGTATTAAGACCCAGTGAGACTGGCAGTGATATCTGCTGAACTCTCGTGGTACGGTTTATCTATACTTTTTATGTTTGGTAAAGAGACTGGCTCTACTACTTATCAGCTGCATGACCCAGTTACTTGACTTTTCTAAGCTTCAGTGTTTTTACCATCTAAAAAAAACAATGATAATTATTATCTACTTCATAGGATTCTTAAGACCATAAAGAAAAAAAAAGAAAAAAAGAAACTATGCATGCCAATTTCTTAGCTCAGTGCCCAGCACATAATAAACTCTTAGCAAATAACATTATATCCCTTAGTCCTTGAGTGAAGACAGAACTTTCAACAATTTTGTTTTCTAGACTAACATAGTTCAGCAGTTTAAAAATTACTTTAACTTCTTAAGGTCACTAGAGTCTCACCAATGTGGCTCTAATTAACATCATTTACAAGTGTGATTGGGTATGTCCTCCCAGATTATCAAGTCAAACGTCCTTGAGTGGTTTAGGTTTGGGAGTATGGTTTTTGTAAATCTGCTGGGAAGGAGAGGAGGGAGGAGAAAAAGAAAATCAGCAGCTTTGATTATTTCCAAATCTTTCCTTGCTCAAAATAATTTTTAGAATTTCTATTCCTGTGTCACCAAAACTGTTCCAATAAATACTTATGGGGTGTTCTACTCAATGTAATCAGAGTGGTTTTAAACATTGATTGAACTCAGTCCCTCTAGTGCGGATAGCACCAGGGATGACAGAGTAAGACGGTGTCCCACAGCCTCGTAGCAAAGCCAGTCACTTACTTTAAATCAAACCCAGTGGAGGTGAAGGACCCACTTTACAAAGTCCCTGTCTTCCTCTGGCTGCTAAATTGCTTTGTTTATCATGTTCTACAATACTTAGAAATAACTTTAATCCTTTCTGTTTTGTTCCTAGAGAGTTCAGTACACTTTAATGAATTCATTGTTCATTAGGGGAAATTGACTAAGGTCATGCATTTTGATAATATTCACAAAGGGTGTATTATGCAGAACCAGGCATGTGGTCTTCGTCTTCCCAAATGACATAATTAAGGGAGAATCTGGGGCAGCTGTCAGCAGCTACAGAAGATAGAAGCATCTCTGCCCTCCCCCAAGCAACCCGGGAGGAATGCTTCATCCACCAACCTAGATGTAGCTGGGCCAGCATTTCATGGAGTCCCCTCTGTACACCTCCTTTCAAACCCAGGTGGAGAACAGCACCAGTTCGTGCGGCTAGTTTATAGGTCTGCAGGGCAAGTCCCCTGTGGGGCTGTCGCCTCCTGGCTATGAATCCCAGGCTCCAGAGAAACCTGAGGGAGGTGACGGGAAGACTGGTCATCTGGAGCCCTGGGTTCTGACCTGGCTCCAATGGCCACCTAACTTTATGACCTCCAACTAGTTACATCACTTCCCCTCTCTGAGCTCAAATGTCCTCCTTTGTAAAATCAAGGTGTGACTTGCTTTTTTTCCAAGCTGCACAAGGACTGGAACGGGTCTGTGTGTGAGCACAGTGGGGTGGAAGGAAGAGTCTTCAGTTAAAAGAGAAGGTTTGAAATGCCAGCCTAGATGAACTCTGAGTCTCCTTCTAGCTCTGAATTACTGGTAGTGATTCTGGCAGATCTGAACCAAACCTCCTAATGCCACCAACCAAGCCTGGAGCTCTTTTCTTGATCATGAATGAGGGCATTTGACTTCTTTATTGACAAAAGTGTTTGATAGAGAGACCTGGTGAGTTCCTAAGCCTACAAAGCTGGAAGAAATCTTCAAAATGATCTGAGAGGTCAGAAGAGCTGGCTTGTTCTCTTTTGGTCCTTGATAAAGAATTGTTGAAATTGCAGTCCATTCCATAAAGACTGGCCGTCCATTCATTCATTCCTGTTCACCCAAGTAGGAGTCTCCTGTGTGCAGAGATTTGTGTACAAAACTTCAGAAAAGCCAGGAATCATGTCCTCAAGGATCATAGAGTTCAATGGGAGCTCCAAGAAATGGGCATGAAAAATAATAGAAGATTGAGTGTCATGAGAAATAAAGAGAAAGTTTTATGGGAAATAGGATATTTAGAGAGAGCAGGGCATGAGGACAGAGTTTAATTGGAAGGAATCATTTCAAGCAGGCCTTGAAGGAGAAATTGGGTTTAGGCCTAGAATAAAAAACATTCCAGGCAAAGAAACATATGATGGCATGGAGGAAGGAAAAGGGAAAACAGGTATGAGGAACAACACATAGTTAGTTTGGCTGAAACCCAAGTTTGGCAAGGAGAGTGCTTGGATTTGTACACTGGGTGGGTGTCTTAAGTAAATACTGTCTTTGTCCATTTTAGTCTTTCCAAGGTTATATCACCTGATTCCAGAAGGTGAAATTACCAGCATCAAGATTAATCGCATGGATCCCAATGAAAGCCTCTCCATTAGGCTTGTGGGAGGCAGCGAAACCCCATTGGTCCATATCATCATCCAACACATCTATCGTGATGGGGTGATTGCCAGAGATGGCCGGTTACTGCCAGGAGACATCATACTAAAGGTAGAGGCTGCTGCTGTGAGGCCATTAAAAAAGACCTAATAAAAATCACTTCAGAACAATTAACTGGATAAATGGATGGATGGATGGATGGATGGATGGATGGATGGATGGATGGATGGATAACTAAATGTGGAGCAGTTAACTTTCTATAGTTACTATGTTGATATGCTCCTAATATGAGATTTGTAATTTAATTGAGATGTCTTTGTCCTCTCTACTTTCTCTTCTTTCACTCTCCTTTTGCTCTGTATATAAATATTTATCTCTATCTCTATCATTTTGTCTGTCTTCCCCTCCTTCCTCTTTCTTCTCCTTCTAGCTTCTTCTGCCTGCTTCCCTTTCCTTCCTCTACCTCCCCTCTCTACCTCCTCCTCCTCCTCTCTCTCCTTCTCGCTACTCCTTCCTCCCTTTAACAATAACATAAAATAATATAAAACTGGAACATATACCTCCTGAAATTATTTTTATTAGTAGATTAATGGAACACTTTGTATATAATTACTCACATTCATACATAGCTCTAAAGTAAATTTCCTGTAGCCTAATGGCCCTCCATGAAAAAAAAAGTCATCCCTAAGTTATTCCACCGACCCGCAGACGTTCCAGGGAGACAGGTGGTGGGAGGGAATGCTTTGGGCATTTCTGTCCGCTGAGGCCTGGTTGAGGGAAGGATGTTAGGGAGGAGTTTTCAGAAGGAGAGAAAGGATAAAGGGAGAGTTGCTTATCAAACAGAAGTCAAGCATGTGCCAAAAATGACAAGAACCTTCTCCCTTGTCATGTATTTCTTGTCTGATACTCAGATGACAGTTTCATCCTGCCCCTTCTAGGTTGCTGAGGGGCCAGCTTCTGACACATCACGAGCAGTTTGTTTGCCAAGAACTTCTTATTCTTTAGAATGAGAAACAATTTAAAGCACTTATGATAGAAACACTGAAATTCCCAGTGGCCTTTGTGGGTGGAGTATAAGGCCGGGCCCATCAACCCCAAGAGACAGTCAGCGGTGCAGTTGAAGACACTCCGCTTGGCATCCTCCCTGTCCTAGTGAAAACTACACTGCCTGGGAGGGTTGCATAACAAAACAGTTTGATTCTTATGGCCTTCAACTGGCGCTCGCAGGCAAAAAGGGCTGCCAGGACTGTAGCAGACGACCCTGACCTTCTCTTGGCCTGGAAGTGATGGGAGAAACCAGACACAGGATAAGGTGACCGAGCAGACGCAGGTCTCTAAGCTCACCTGTGCTTGGGCAAACATGCTGAGCCTTGTCTGTGCAGGGTGGAGCTTCCCTCCCTCCCTGGAGACGCAGCAGAGAACCTGAGATCGTGCGCTGCAGGAAGGCCTTTTAGAATCTCGCAGCAAAGCTCCCCTTAACAATTGGCTTCAAGTATGAGAAATCTTACCAAACCATAGGAATTCAAGGAGGTTGTTTCTCTTCTGTGTGCCTCCCTCCACAAGCACAGAACGGGGTTCTGTGAGGTTGTTTTCTTCCGGAGTGGTGACTACCAGTAGTGGCTGAAACCTTCAGGCAGGGCCTACTTAGCCAGGATAATTAAAACCAGAAAGCCCCATGCAGCATTGTTCCGCAGATCTTTAATGAGGCACAAATGAGAGGGCTGAGCTTGAGGACATTTAAGTAGCATCATAAAGTGATCCAGCCTTTCAATAAAAGAGCCTAGAAACTTCTATTTACATCAGTTTGAAACTGGAGAGGTTTATTTTTCTTTTGTTGAGAACTTGGGCAAAAGACCTCGCAAGTCTGACTCTTTCCCCCTCCCGTCCGTGTCTGTCTCTCTCTCTCTCACACACACACATAAATGCACTCTGTCACTCACATTCACACACTTGCCAATACACAAACACATGCACACTCACATGTGCACACTCTCTCACACGTGCACACTCTCTCACACGCACGCATACACACACGTGTACACCCACAGCTGTGGGGCCCGGAAGTTCCAGTGTGTGACCCAGAAAGAAAAATTCATTTGGAAACTTTGGGAAAGAAAATGTCACATCAGTTTGAATGGAACAGCAGTTCACTGTTACCATTTGAGCTCAATGGAAATTTTCTATTCTCTTTTGCCTTTTTCGACTTTTTATTTCTTTTTCTCCCTTTACACCAACTGAAAGAATAAGTTGGGTAACAGAAGTGAGAGTTGGGATTGTACAAGTAAATGTGGGAACCTATGTAAGGACCAAGTGGAAGAAAGATGATCTCTACTGAGAGAAACCTGAAAAGGTAGTGCAGGTGACATGCATGGCAGGGTGGGAAAGTAATACTGGAAGACAGGGACATCGGGGTACAGGATAAGGTGACGGAGCAGAGCGGCATTCATGAATGGCCCTGGTGATTCTGTGGTCCTGGGCCTGGGGGAAAGGTCGTGGCAGGTGGAGCTGACAGCTGGGTCCCTATCCCCACCCCCAGGTCAACGGAATGGACATCAGCAATGTACGGCACAACTACGCCCTGCGCCTCCTGCGGCAGCCCTGCCGGGTGCTGTGGCTGACTGTGCTGCGTGAGCAGAAGTTCCGAAGCAGGAACAACGGACAGGTGCTGGACACCTGTGGACCCCGAGATGACAGTTTCCATGTGATTCTCAACAAAAGCTGCCCTGAAGAGCAGCTTGGGATAAAATTGGTGCGCAAGGTGGATGAACCTGGGGTGTTCATTTTCAACGTGTTGGATGGTGGTGTGGCAGACCGACACGGTCAGCTGGAGGAGAACGATCGCGTGTTAGCCATCAACGGACATGACCTTAGATACGGCAGCCCAGAAAGCGCAGCTCATCTGATCCAGGTGGGTCACAGGTCTTTCCTAGATCCTGGTCAGAAACTCCCAGCGGGAGCAGGACTGCTCCTCCCCCTGACCATCTGCCCTGTTACTACCAATGTGACTACAGTGCCTCCCATTCAAGGAGTCAAGATCGAAGGGCCAGGTAAGAATGTAACTCAAGCAAATGATGTGTTTTGGGATTGCGTGTGTTTTGGAAAACAGCATGCTCTCAAGGACTTGATTTTCTAAATTCTAATCTGATGCAGGTTAAGATAACTCAAGGTCAGCAGCGTTGTGCCATGCCTATACCCAGTATTTTGGTTGCAGACCCAGAGGTTGGTCATTCAGACACATTTAAGTCATCCCATTGTACTAATAGCCCTAAGAAGCTGTGCCGTGCATGCTCCAGCGATCCTGTGTCTAGAAACCACCACTGATTGGCTAAGTCTGAGCCCCATCTCCGTGGTTACGGCCAGGCCCCCTGGAAAGCCCACAGAAACTCAAATATGAACTTGAGAGAAAGTCCCCTATTAAGAGAGATATATAAATTATTGATCATTCAGGCAAATAGAGTTCCCAGTAGTGAGACAATGGTTCGAACCAATTCACTTTCTAACCAGTGTGATGTCGTGAAGGCCCAGCATGCATCTTGTTGACTTTGGCCAAGTAACCATGAGTTTTTCAAATGTTCACCGAGCTTCCAGCTTTATTCTTAGAGGAACAGGCTTTGTTCTGGATTTTTGTACTATAACCCTTTCGTTCACTTCGTTTAGTCAATACATATTAAGTTTCTGCTGTTCAACTAGCCCTGCGTTAGGTGCAGAGAACAGAGAAATGGTGATTCTTAGGCTGTTCTCCCAAAGGAGCCTACAATCGCACAGGGGAGATGGGCTTTTTTTGAATGAGTGCTTCATGGCGTGATAGTCCTGTAATGGAAACATTAAGCACTGTGCTGGTACAGATGAAGGAGAGATTTTTGCTTAGATGGGCCTAGGAATTCTGCAGAGGAGTAAGATCTTGAACTGGGCCATTGAGAAATCAGAAGTTCTCTAGGTGGACAAGGCAGGGAGGGTCATTCTAAGGAGCTACGACACAAAAGAACATTTCCCTAAAAAGCCCGTTAGGGAAATGGTTAGTGCCTGGAGCACAGTGTCTACACAGAGTAGTATTTGCAGTTACCCAGCCAGTCACATCAGCTTCCACTTAGTGACTGAAGCGGCTTTAGGAACAGCAAGTCAGCATCAGTAGTTGACTGAATCTTGTACCAAGTTCCATGGGGGGTGACAGTCAGGACACAGAGCATGCTCTCAAGGACTTGATTTTCTAAGTTCTAATAAATCTCCCTACCCTCGGGTTCTAGCCGTGGAGTTCTTCCAGGGGTTGGCAATGCTTTAATATTGTGCAGGTCTTATCCCTCTTCTTTAAAGAAAAGCCAGTGGTGGATGATACTGTCATTTTAAATGTGGACAGCCTGAGGTGGGGGACAAAGAGACTTCCCCTGCTTGTTCCATCCAGAATAGGAAAGACATGTTGTGTCTTTGCCCCTGAACTGTTGGCTCTGGCTGGTGACCCAATTCCAAGGTGATTCTCAGCCCGATGGATCTTCCCAACAGGGTGTGTGAGTCATGCAGGTAGAAAACAAAAGCAGAGTTACAAGTGGCATGTCCCCTTCTGGAGTTTATGCCATCAATTCCCAAGTTCATATGCCCAGCCCCCACTTCTTCTCTGAACACCATACTTCACATCCAACTGCCCACTTGGGGTCTCCACATGGGTGTCTAAAAGGCCACTCACATTTAATGTTCCACACGGAACCCTTGGCTTCCTTCCACTCCACCCCTTGTCTCACCCGCTCTTCCCTCAGTCTTTCCCAGTCTCTAAAAATGCAGCACCATTTACCCAGTTACTTGGGCCATGAAGAATCTTTCCTCTTTCCAGCATCCACTCCCACAGTCCATTTCTCACCACCTCCATGGCTTCCATTAGCCCAGCCACCATCCCCTTTGGTCTGAGCCACCCAGGAACCTCTTAACCGGCCTCCTTGCTTCCACGCTCAGCCCTCTGCCTCTGCTCTTCACACAGCAGTTAGAATGACCAGTTTAGAGTCAATGCCAAAATGTACCTCTCTTACGCTCCCCTCTCTGATGCCTCCCAAGACACTTAGATTAAAAATTCCAAAACCTAACACTGACCTACCGAGTCATATGTAATCTGGCCTCTAGTTCTATCTCCAACTTCACTTCCTCAGCAAAGGGACAAATTCCTAACATTCTCCCCTTGGCTTCCCCAGCTCAGTCACATTGCCTTCCCGCTACTCCTCAGATGTTTCAAGAGCTTCTTCGCCTCAGGGCTGACGTTCTTGCTGTCCCTCTGACTAGAAGACTCTTCCAAATACCTGTATAGCTCACTCCCTCACTTCAGTCAGGTCTCTTCTCAAATATCCTCTCTGACAGTCTCACTTACAAAAGCATCTACTACTCTCAATTCCATATCCTCTAATCTGCTTTATTTTGTTTTTCTATCAACTAATTATCATTACCTGCCAATTTAGTAGAGTACAGTAGAGTATGATATATCAAGCACTCAGAGAAATGTCTGGCAATAGTAGACACTCAATACATATTTGTTGAGTGAATAAATTGAGTCCAATTATAAAACATGTAAATATATATAAAATATAATTTATACATTCCATCTCATAGGAATTTTCTGTCAAATGACTTACCAAAGAACAAGCATGAAATCTATTTTTACATACTATTTGTCCCCAAGATAGCATCTCTATTTTTGTCCCCTTGAATTTGTTCTGTTATTATTGGCTGAGCACCTTCTATGTGCCCTGAAGTGGGAGGTAGAATGAGGAACAAGACTGACACAGTTCCTGGCCTCATAGAACTTGGAATATATTCCTATCTCTGATCTCAGACACAATCAGGCCAGCCTTACACAGATAGTTCCTGCCTGTATGTGCCAGTGGGTGAGACAGAAAATAGACAATTTTTATGAAAACACTAACCCATGAAAAAGGAGGGGTCCTTGTTGTTTTTCTTCCTGAAGAAACTGCATTCTAAGCACGATTTTTTTCCTCTTTAAAAATTAGACTTTTAGGTGTTACCAATTTTTTTCTTGTTATGCTTGTTAACGCCCTCTGCAGGTCAATCCGTGCAACTTGCCCCCATTCTAGAGATTGTCTGCCAACTACACTTAGCAAGAGGCACAACAAAAACTCCCTTACTCGTGTCATTTGGAAAGACTTGGCATTCTACATATGATTACATATGGCATGCTACTTTTGTTGATTAGTAACAGAAGAGGAAAAAACATTTTTTTTCCCTGAGAAAGTTAATTTATGAAATCTTGCCTCATAGTGGGACTTCCTAAAAGATTCTTCTGCTTACTAAACAAAGCCAAAGTGCTTTATAAGCAGGGGAGGAGGAATTTTTTAAAAATTGGGCAAAGCTAGTTGGAAAAGAAATGGAAAAAATAGAATGCTGGGAAAACCCAGTTAAGCAATCTCAAGAGTGGCTTTTATTTGTGTGATACTTGTAACACACACCAGGCTCAGGGCATTAAACTAAATGCACTTCAAAGGTTAAAACTCGAATTTCCAACTAGTCCTTGGCTGCATTGCTCTGTACCTACTCCATGAATCATATTTGCCTTAGAAAGAAATTCCCAGACCACATGTCCTTTGGTCATGTTTTCTCCCGCAGTACCACACATTCTGCCTCTCTCTACATTATTTCAGGGAAAAGTTATTACAGAGAAGCCGCAACTGTTTTAAACCTGACCAGCTTTACATGTGTGGAGTCCTAACCTCAGCTTACTCAGCAGCAGCCTGGGTGCCAGACCCCAGAATTAGACAGACGCTCCAGCTCCAGGGCAGCTGGCTTATTTAGAACTTAGTACAACTTTATTTTTCTCCATGTCACTTTAAGTTTTTTGAGCACCATGGCTAGAATAGCTGTATGAAAGAGACAGCTTTGTGGAACTGTCTGGTGTCATACCTAGAACGTGAGAACGAAGAAATATGGACCAAAGATTTGAGACCCTAGAGACAGACAAACAACTGCACATCTAAAACCTTGGCGATTCAGCATGTGTCTATCCAAGAGCCATATGAGAACGATTGATTCTGAAAGTTATGCCGATTTTGAGATGCTCTCATCTATCTGTAATTCTGGATTAGTGAGTTCATATTTATTTAGGAGTTCAAATATGTACATTTAATAAAGAAAGTAATGATGGGTTTCGTATTTGAGTATCCTCCTTGCGCCATTTTTCCCTAGGCAGCTTCTAGATTCCATGCAGAAACTAAAAAAATTCAAAGCCAGTGGTAGAGATGGTGAAAGGATGGGTTCTCATGAATATTGACATGTGTGTGATTTTTTTCCCTTTTGCGTGAATGAACATTTAAATGAAAAGTCATTTCTTCAAAGAACAACTGATGACCAGGCTCTTCAAATTTTTAAAAAGAATGTGATTGGCACTTAGTCAGAAAGCAAATAATGGACTACTCGTGTCACTTACTTTTGTTCTAAATACGTGATTCCAGCTCATGAGTTCCACTGGAAAACTGGAAGAAAAAAAAAAAAAAAAAGCAGCGCTTTTGTTCCCTGGAGTGAGAAAGAATTGCCAATAAAATAAGACATGATTGATTTGGGTGCTTTTTGCAGATCAGCATAGCTAATATAGGATCAAATCCCTATTTAAACAAAAATTTTAGCATGGTATTGTGGTGAATTTAACGCTCATAGAATAATACATAGATTTAAAAACATTTTTCTGAACCAAATTCTTACAGTCCAAACGATTTTCACATAGAGCTCCCTATTTTTTGCATTCATGATAAAGCATGACTTGGTAAACTATACCGCTTAGAATTTTAGGAGTGAATATCATCACAGCTACACATTGCAAATATTAGGTAATCTTGAAACTTCACTACCTTTCTGTAACCCACATGTCACCCACGTGCATGATTTTCTTACCACGGAAAAGAATTGATCATGAGAGTAAACTTC